TATTGATGAAATTTAATTGCATAACAAACTTCAAATATATATATTCATGGCCATTTTTATTTCTGAGTTATACTTTTTATGAAATTAATGGAGTATTAAATTAACATTAGAATTATATGATATGAATCCTAAATTTGATTAGATAACATAATCTGTGTAATAAAGTTACCTACATAATTGTTAATATAACCAAAACGAAAGAACTCATTTCTTATATCAATGATACTTTATCGAATGATAAAAGGTTTATGCAATTTATGCAACGGAGTATTAATTCGTAGCAGAATAACAGTACTCACGTTAGAATTATGACTCCAAGTCATCGTGGGCGGTTCTGGTGCGTACTTTACTACGCAAGTTAAGTTAATGGTGCTACCCTTATTGACGAAGAGATCAGGGGCACCGATGATGGCAGTGATCGGCTCTGAAACAGAAATATTTTCTTTTCTGATCAAGCGTTTAATGTTCTATGATATAATATCGGATATTTATCCGATGTTTTCCATTTTTCGGATATCCCGATATCGAATATACGGATCCTGATACCGAAGATGAATGATCCGGATAACAATCTTATCTGTATAATCCGGATTATCCGTTTCCACATCATGAACGTCTTAATAGCGATGATGATGATGCACTTTTGTTTCTGTAGGATACGCTTGGAAATGGAAAATGAATTGGGAGGCTAAGAGCCTTCAATCGACTGGTGAGATCGCTCCAGCGAAGGAAACCCATACTCGCACATATACAAGATGCCCCAGAAACTAAACAACAATTTCCTTTGCCCAATGCAAAGTGAGACATGGTCTTTGAATTATTGATGAAAAACACTGACCAAGGAAGCCAACTTGCGTTTAATCTTCATAGGCTTAAAATGTAAATTCGGGCTCAGACATTTTTCTGCTTCGCTTAATTCAGGCTAAACCTCCTAATTTACTTAATTAAAATGGATACCACCTTATACAGATACGAGTATAAAGAGATGCTCTATTCTTTTGATATATATGTATATGTATATGTATATGTAATACGTAGACGTCGGAGTCAGAGTTTCTACTGCCATAAATCATACGATGAAAAGAAATGGATAAGACAATGTACATAGAAGGCCATGGAAGTGCAACTTGAAGGGGTATAATTCAACGAATGCTCGATGTTTTTATCGTTTTGGGAAAGAGCGAGGCAGGTAGGAGGCAAGAGAAATATAGAAGCGGACAAGTTGGGTAACGTATTCGGGTCAAGTCAGCGTGATAAGATCCTCTCATTTAATAGAACGGCCCGGTTAGGATATCAGAGCAGTCATTAACAGCATACCCGGCGAGGATATATGAGCTCGCGGACGGCCTGGTTTCGCCCGCATGAAATCTTTGCATGGATTTCGTACGTATTACGTATCCCTCGATTAACCCCTTTCGCGCCCTCTCGCCGCGCCGTTCACGTCCATCTTGAACTGGATTTCAAACACATTGATCATAGATACCTGCGCCTCGCGTTCGCTCGCTCTCTCCCTTTTTTCTTCCCTTCCTCGCCTCCGTCCCACACCCCGGCGGCCCGCGTCGCCGTTGCTTCAATCTTCCGCGCGAAAGCTATCTACGATCTCACCGAGCATCTTTTCCCACTCCCAGAACTTTATCTGGAACGCGTCGTGCTCCCGAAACTTTACCGAGTGCGCGTACTTCGAAATCGCGATCCACGATGCGCGTAATCGTTGCCCATATTGTACATCGAACAATAAAGCAACGTTAGGCAACGATCAGATTATTTACATTAATCAGAACTGACTAGTTTTCTTAATGAAATAGTAAAGAATTAATCTACATATGGAAAGTAGAAATTATTTCTATGATATCTAAAATTATATCTTGTTTCTACCTTAAACTTCAGATTTAGATTTAACGAAATAAAAGAGTGCCAAAGTACTTACAAGAAAATTAATTACAAATGAGTACAGTATTATTACTGTGGAACTGAATTCACATTCAACTTCCAGTTTTATTTTATTACGTTATATTTATTCCGATTTTATTTATTCGTCACGCGATGTGTCATTAGCAAATGACGTAAATGATTCGTTTTAATAACAGTAGGCCGTCGTAATGAAATCGGCAAAATAATTGACCCACATATTGTCCACTTCATTAAATCGGGCAAATATTGACGTTAAACGTGAAACACGAAAATTAACGCGACACTTTTGCATTTACGATGCCCTCGAGGCTTGCGTCAACTTTCAAACTGAACAATAACGATTGCAATCGGGTCGCCGTCCAAAGCGGATTCTCTTATAATTTATCGCGCAATTTTCTGTTACGCTGTCACATTTCAAATTCCGTGTCACGATCCCTGTACAAGATAATCGAATTGTACATGATTCACCTCGGAAATCGAAAATTCAATTGGCTAGGGATCATTTTATATGTTCGGCAAGTAATTAAATTAAGGTTGTATCACATTTTAACGAATTTAATGTACGTAGATGTTGCCCTACTCTATTATTCACAGCAGGCTTACATATAAACAGCTACAAATACGAGACTTCTTTTGTATTAAAAATATAAAGAAAAAAATATAGAGAAAATATAAAGTTTATTAAGGAAAATGATAATATATACCACAACATTATAGACCGGAAGTAGGGAACCTTTTTACCATTAGAGGCCATATTTAAATTGAACAGCAATAAAGGAGGCCGCTATAATTTTTTATATTTTACTGTTGATATTTTTATTTGTTAAAGCAAACTCCTCAACCATGCCTCGGATAATTTTTTCGTTAAGGAAAATGTTGTTTAAAATTATGTCAGGAACCTCCCATTCCAATATCTTACACTATAGTTTTGGGACACCCTGTATTATCGTATAAACATACACTTGAAAAGAAATTAACGCCAGAATGGTGTCGACAATCATTAACGGTTCAAACTCAACGTGACACCATTACCGTTTCATAGTGTTCAAAAGCTTGAACTCGTGCATAACGAGTCTGAACAGAGTTCCGAATCGTTTAATATTTGTTTCGCGTGTTCGCGAATACTGCTGGATCCGAGATAGCGAATATGGAAAGACGGAAAGAACGAGGGAAGTACATAAGGTTTTCCGATGGTTAAAGTCGACCTGCTGCTACTACTTAAAACTACTGTCTACAATGTAGACTCTACATCAAACATGACTAACTCATTTTTCCCTACTCTAATAGCCCTCTCCACCTCGTGCAGTAGTCACAGTAACTCGGCGGACCACAACACTACTTAACGCATCCCCATCTATGCTCTTGTCGCGTATTTGGCCATGCTTGGAGTCCGCATCGTAGATTCTGTTTCACTCACCGACTATCGTTAGATAAACCGGATGACCGATTGGGGGTGTCGTTGATATTTGGCACTCGTAGATACCGGAGTCCTTCTTTTGGGCAGACAATATCCTCAACGTCCAGTCTTCGGTGTGCGGTAGGTGCTGCGCCTCGAAACGCTGGTCGCTTGTATACGTGTAACGACCCACCGTTAACAAATGGATGTCTCGATGCCTTACCCAGGAGACCTGCAGCAAAATATCACTCGTTCACGTTCTATTGCCAATAAACGTCGGCGCAATAAAAGGATAATTTATAGGACAGATAACTTTGTCCTGATTTTCCTTTAATAATGGAAATATTAGTTCGTTCCAGAACCTATTGTCTACAGGAAGTTCCTCATCGATCCTGAATTTTAAATTTCTTATTGAAAATCAACTATCAGTTAATAGAAGCTAGTTGAACAATAAGCAAGGCACGGCACTTCAATATAATTCGCTAATAAAGAGGATACAGGGTTCATAGAACAAGATAATACATCGATTTATGCGGAAGTGTTTAAAGAATGATTTTCGAGATAAGTAGAAAAACGAATGTCTCAGTAATGACAGAACATTGCTGAATGGCTTTCCACTTGTCATCATAGAAACTCGGTATTGTCTCGCGCCAGCCGTGAATTTGGCAGCTACACGGCTTCGTCTTTCGAGCCCTCGAGGTGACACCGGGTAGACATTAGTCGCGGCATTGTTTGCAGATATCCGAGCGAGAGCCGAGCGAGCGCACGCACGCGCGACACGCGGCTAAAGCGATCGAATCGTAGCGGTTAAAGCGAGAGGAAGGCGAGCACAATGACGACGCGACGGGAACCGTTTAACCGACTATCCACGTACCCATCCACGTCGATGGTATCGAGCGAATTTTGCGGTTCCCACGTTCCCTGAATTACTCTTCTCCATTTACCATCCGCCTTTAACGTCCTTTAATCTCGCCCTCGTGTACCGCGGACTGTGAGCGTTGTTAAACAATAGCCCAGATTTATTTACAAGCGTTTTCGGTCAGCTAGACAAAGGCTATCGAATCGAACGCCGCGCGTCTCGGATCTCGACAACTGTTGCGTATTTTGACGGACAAATTCCGACAAACGGTATTTCGATCGAACACGCGATATCCCGATGGAACTTATTCGACAATCCCGTCGATATTTCATCAGTCCGACGTTCCGTGTCTTTAATTAACGTGACATTAATCGAAACTACATGTAATAATTGCGCTCGCAAAATGCGCAGATGTATGCATGCCACCGTTCAAATAGATTGACAAATATGACGTCAGAAGATTAAATTTCATTCTACTCGATACGTCGTCTTGTTATAAGAGTATTAGAACTTAATATTGGACGAATAATACATGCTTAATGTTATGATGAACGATCGACGATAAATAAAAGAACAGGAAATGTCACATTTATATTTTAATTATGTCACTCAAAGAAATTATCTGAAATTTTCATTTTCTTTTACTATATGTATAGTATAGTAA